ATTTGCTTCCACCAAACGATGAACGCCTCGATCGACAACACACCAATGTTCTTCAAATATGACAGTGAAAACTTGATTAGATGGTTAAAACTACAAGGATGCTTCAAAAACACTACAAAATTGAAGAAATCTTTAGCTAAAATTAGTATTTACAGACGAATTTTTTCGATTAGGTTTTGGTGTTCTTAGGGAAAGGAAATGGGTGGGTGAATAAATGGACTAGGATAAAATAAAATGGATTTGGGTGAAAAGAATCGGGTTTGGGTGAAAAGAAACGGGTTTGGGTCAAATGAATCGGATTGGGGTCTTTTATTACGTGGCTTAACTAGGAGGCGAGTGGCTCTCACTCTAGGCATAATGTCCTGGGTTGGGTGACGGAAGGGGGAAATAAATATACTTTTATGTACTTAAGGTGTGTAATAGGTCGCCCCATTAGTTAAAGTGTGTAAATGACTTTTGGGTACAAGTTTAGGGGGAAATTTATGCCTTTTACCCTTATAATACTGCATGGGTGAACCAGAAAAAAGGATTTAGCAGATTTTTGATGTACCGATGGCTTTGTTAGTGGGTCTTGTAATTAGTTTCCAAAAGCTTATAAATAAATCTTCCTCATATAAAAAAAAGGTAATTTGTCTCGATTTAGAATGAATTGCCACCCAAAAATAGAAGCGAGAAACACCCTAGATAGGAACAGTTTCTCTTGTAAGGGAGTTTTCAAACAAACTAAAAATTCAAAGTTCCTCTCCCTCCTATTAAGATGATGATTTTCTGATCGAACAAGAATGAATCATAGCCAATCCTAAAAGAGGTAATAAAAAATAATCACTTAACACAAATATAAATTGGTTGGCAAATAAATAATGAATATCAAATTATTATATTAAATAGTTTAATATATAAACCAATATGTTCATGTGTGATTTTTCAAATACTTTTCGTTGTTTTTGGTACAATTCTTACAGTAGTAAGCAATTGCCATTGGTCTACAAATGCTAATTTTTGAAATACTATCGTTGTTTTTAATTTATATTTCTCAAATGTAATTTTTGCATTTAAAATAGCAACACAGTCCCTCGAATTTTGCAACAAAAAAAAAAAAAGAGAAACAAAATGAAAAACTCTGTCGAATTTCTTAAGAAAAATTTAATTTTTTTATAATTATTACGCGAAAAATAACCAATGGATGCCTGTCATTATTTTTTAAAAAAATATCAAAAAATCTACGCATGCCGTTGGAGTTTTACGTTTTTTTAGTAGTGTATTTTGAGTTTATCTCTATAATGGGCTGCTTAAATATTGGGTTAATTATTCTTTTAATAACTTAAACTTAAGTTGGTCACACACTCACACAACTTAGAAGAAAGTTTTGAGTTTTGTCTCACCACACCTATTATCAAAACAAAACTTTCACGTGTTAGGTCCACAAAAAAAAAATCTGGTGCACATGTACGTGAGCGTGTTGTTGATATAATTAAATAAATTAAAATATGTCTATTCTAATGATTTAATTTTTAAATGAGAAATTTCAAGTTTGAATTTTATATCAAAAGTCAGTGAGAGCCCAAAAGGTTTGGAAGCAAAAAACATTAGGTTGAAAGTGCAAATTCATCCGATACATAAATCATACTTGTATACATTTTAACTAGTAAGAAAATAAAAGGCAAGTCTATATCATCCCTTATTTACAACAACGGCTATCATGAGTCTGAATAGAACAAAATGAATATAGTATTCATATAACAATATCTAATTAGCTTGAACTTGAACCATATATAATTGAATCATATATAATCGAGTCGATTAAGCCTGTTAAGAATGCACAAAGTCTCTTCATTCCACAGCACCATCAGCTATATGAAACCAATTTCTTTGGAGGAGCTCTACAATCTCTTCATCTCTGAATATTCTACATGTTATAGTAAGTAATACAAAATAAAATTAATCATATGTTGTATTAATAATATATATATATATATATATATATATATATATGTTCTACTTATTACAATAATAATGTTATATATATACCTTGATTTAGAAGGAGACTTTGGGGGTTGGTGACAAAAACGAGGGCCTTCATCATATCCTTCACATGTGATTTCTCCATATTCATCTCTATAACAAACTACACCCGTTGACCTATCTTCAAATACCTATATATTTATATAATAAATATAATACGAAAAATCAGTAGACGTTTGTACATAAATTGGTTGATATTTGAAAATAAAAATAAAAGTAGTACCAATAAGTGAAATTGAGTTGATAAAGGCTATTTGAAAGCTTGTGTTTGGACGGGTGAAAATTAAACTTTGTTTTTCGAACTTCAAATTTCATATTTCAAGTTTGAAATTGAAATAACGTGTCAGTTTGATAAACAATCACTTACATAAAATGATCTCCAAATATTATTTCAAAATTCTAAAACAAAATCTATCGATCGGATGATTAGTCCTCCTACTTACTAGATCGAATCAATATGTTCCAAGTAGAAAGAAGGATAAATAAACAAAGATAATTGCTATGATCTCTACCAATTGATATGTTTTGAGCAACAAATGATTACATATAATTAAGGTAAAAAATAGATCTTGCATCTAACTGAATTCAAAACTTAGCTTATGAACGGAGGATTGCTCAAATTCATATAAAGAAACATTTCATTTCTTTTTCACGCTCAAAACTGGACATCTGATGTATGAATAATTTAATATGAAGGTCCAACATCAGTTCACAATAATTGGAATGAGTCCTACTCTAATACATGTCTAGATAGACTCTAGGCCTAATATAATTTGATATAATATCAAAACAAACAAAAGTCTTGTGGATCGAATCCCACCATCACCTTTGGTAAAAAGATTAACGAAATACCTTAAGCCCATTTTTTGAAGTTGATTTGATCTGACACGGAGTAATTGTTGTTGTTGTTGATGACGATGATGATGATGAGATGTTGTTTGAAATATTGTCATGAATACTTGCAATTAACACCACTTGCCTGTGGACAGGCAGCCTTGTTGTCCTTGTAGTGAAAGATGATTTGGTAATTAGAAAAGGTGTTGAAAGAGAGTTTACCACAGCCATTGATCTTAATGGAGAGAAAAAAGTGAGGACAGGAATGCTTGTTTCTGCTATGAAGTATTGTTGTTGAGGGACTTTATATTATATAGTTTTTTTAGTTTTTTTTTATTAATCAAGATAATATATTATAACTTAATATGCATCGATACAAGTAAATGACAGCTTTGTTCTTGTTAGTACTGTTTGGGGAAGGTTTACATAGTACACATTACTACATTTTGTAGTGCTGAAAGATGACCTTTTAAGCCTAACAAAAACTCTTTTGACTTTGTTTGCCTATATTATACTAGATGGGCATGGCCCGGTCCCAATATTTTTTAGCCATGGTCAACAGGGGCGGAGCCACCTTATACTAAAGGGGTTCATCCAAACTCCCTTCGGCGAAAAATTATATTATTTATGCATGATTAAAATAATTTTTTATGTATATATAGTAGAAGTCGAACCCCCTTCGACTACTTTATGTATCTATTCTATAGATTTTGAACCCCCTTATTGAAAATTCTGACTCCGCCACTGATGGTCAATTTTTGATGATTTGCATAACGCTTTGATCATCAATAATCGTATAGTAAAGAACAAAACAATAACGGAAGACAACACATGAAAAAACAAAAGGCTCATATATGTAAAATGGTTAACGACAGATTCCATAGTAGAGTGTATAGAGTAAAGAGTCAATAAAAATTGCATTCGGTGTCCTGCTTGCAAAGGTGTATTCGATTGATAATGTAAAATCATAGTTAAATTGTCAACATCGACGATGCACTAATTCAACCCTCAATGGTAAAGAACCTTCAGAACTCACAAACTTAGCTAAAGATACACCAAGACATACAAATTGTGCACATATATATAAGATCTCTGACTTGTTGAAGCTCAAGACTTGTTCTCACAACCTTTGTTGTAGAAAAGCTGGCATTATTCTAGAATCTTTCAAGGAATTTTACATTATACTCATAACTTAAGATAAATGGTTAACACGCTCCAAAAGTACTGAAGGAAACTAAACAAAAACATTAAAACAAAATCAAGAAATCATCACTGAAGTGAAATTCAGCATTCAGTCACAACTCATATCTTATATGTGATGAGTACAACTTTTAATGGCTCAAAGATAAGGGAAAATAATTGTCAATTGCTTTTGCTAGGAGTAATTGCTAATTAATGAAGTGTTACTTGAGTACTTGAGTAGCGTCTCAATGAGTACTTGAGTAGCGTTTTCAACATGCGTGTCATACAATGTTGACAAACAAATTCATATATTAAGATTTTCACACACACATCTATATATATAGATGCTTTTATTTTATTGGACCACTATCCATTCTTTATTCGTCGAAAGAGTAGTTTAAACCTATCTATTTTTTATATCATTTATCTACTTTGAAACCATTACTCATACTGAAACTTACAAAGTCATCGTTTTGAAGATTGAAGAAATTCCCCGGTTTTGATAAAAAGAATTTAATCGACTTTTGTCTTTTTAATGTAGTTGGACTCTCATGTCAATCCAAATGAATCATCCTTTCCACGGAGGTAAATCTTTGCCTACTAGGCAAGAGGATAGCAAGTTCCAAATTCTGTCTCGGTAGGACAACTTTCGGAATTTCCAGAGAAGATGAGATCAGAACTTAATAAATTTCAAACTTTCTATTCCATATCCATTGCAACTAGTATTTGGGTGTTTTTGCTTGAGCATTACCACCTGGACAATTAGACATCTAACCCATAATTGCAACGACCCAATTGCAAGAGAAAAATGAGTAATAACCCCAGTAGAGACTGGCACGATTCAATTCAACATTTTGTTCGTTTGGAATTAAAAAGATGTGTGTATATATATATATATATATATCGTGTTTGGCCATTTGCTTCTAAAATAAGCTTATCTTGAAAAGTTTTTTTTTTTTTTCTAAAAATACTTTTGGTGAGAAGTAGTATATGGCAAGAAAATTCAAGTACTCTTGACCAACAATTAGTGTTTGGCTAGGCTTTTAAAAAGGGCTTCAAAGTTTATTTTTTATTCTGGAAAGTACTTTTTAAATAAACATTTTTGAGCTCGCTAATTTTTTTAGTGTCCAGAAAACTACTTTTGTTGCTCTCTATAAACACTTATTTTCTCCCTAAAGCTTGGTCAAACACTTCAATTTTTAAAAGGGAAAAGGGTCAAAAATACCCCCCAATTTTGGTTTATTGTTTGACTTTACCCTCGCCGTTAAAATGAAGTTAATTTTACCCCTCCCGTTACTAATTTCACCAAAATTACCCCTCATTTAGACGGAATCCCCAAAATTGATCCAAATTGACCCAATTACCCGGAATTTAAAAAAAAAACCTATTCCCTATTTTTAACCCAATGACCCGACCCCCTCTAGGATAACCCGGTACCAATTAACCCAATTACCCATTTCCATTTACCCATGCCCTCTCTTTAGATAATCTCATTTTCTCCCAAATTTACCCATTATTGTATTTTCGATTCATATATATCTTGCTAATTATATTTGAAAGCGGACTTGTATAGGGGCTGGACCTCAATTGCTAAATATTGTGCGAAGAAGCTGCCTACCACTACTGAAGTTATGGCAATTGACAATGGGAAAATTTTGTTTAGAAGAACCTCTACTTCCCAACTCAAAGGTTTGATGATACTTCAAAATTGCTTGCACATTTGAGCTAAAA